AGCAAAGATGATATCCTCGGGGTTGACCGCACACTGTAGGATCTGCTGCATCTCCTTCTGGGACGCACAATCAAAACCCAAGCCTTTCCTGGCCAAGAGAGCAAGCAAAGTCTTGTTATCATTGCATTTAACAGCTGAGGAGGTTATCAGCAATCAGATTTAATCCATAATCATGGACAAGAGGATCATCGATGGACGAACCGTAAAAGGGTTTGACGAACGGGAGCTGAGTGTTCCACTCGTCCAACTTCTCGACAACGGCGTCGAGGTTGCCAACGAAGAACGATGGTCCCTTTTCACCTACTGTTCTTAGGTGGTCTCACGCAACCGCTTTTGTCGTATTGCCAACTCCGACAGGTGATAGAGAAGCTGCGATCAATGATTCGGACATTCTTAGGTGTATCAAAAGACGCTGGCGGATGGGTCGTTCCTGTCCTCGGCATGGTTAGAGGTTTGCGGAAATACTAATAGAATCCGAGGGAGCGCTGGCACTAATTCCGTTGAGCAGTCCATGGTGCATAAAGGCCGGCGAAGAAGCTGAAATAAATTTGGCGCAGACGATCTGCGCATGGTCTAGCCTGTGGAACCCAATCTCGCCCGCGATAATAGCACGGCATTAGCAAAAGAGATAGGCAGCTTGCATCCTACATCTGGTGTGTCCCGCCACATGTGATACTCCGACTAAGCAAGTACAAATAAAACGGCGGGGCGCTAATGGCCAAAAGCTGTAAAGCCTCGGTACCGTCGACCAAGCTGAGTTGTCTTGCAAGCATGCGCGTCCAACCAGCCTCGGACTTGCCGTCCAGCCGCAAACATCTATCAGCATGGAGCACTTGGCGCTCGTCAATATGGTTCACGGTATTGGCCTGTGGATTCACACTCTTCACAGTATGTCAGATGGAGGACCAGAATGCCACCGTAGTCTAACTAGCGCCTAGGACACATTTCTCTATTCTATGGTAGGCATTGCGGCCGCGTGTGAGAAAATGCACTCAATATCTATAGGCTGTGCCTATTCTACCATTCGCCCTGATAAGAAGACCCATATCCCGGAACCGAACGGTATATGTATACAAGCCAGAGCTACGACTGCATCTAATCTAATAAAGACTAGTGCAGACTTGGGTTTCTATCCTGCTGGCAGTTCACAGTGCAGGTATTGCAATTTTTTGCCGTGAGTCTTATCTTAAATGTCTGGCTCTCGTTGTGCTCATTCCGATCTTTTCAGCTATCTGTGCGCGGTGGGCCGACCACAGTGCCACTCGAAAATGGCCTTACTTATTCGGACTCGTCGGGCTCTCGAGCGCTACCGTTCTGCTTGCCCTTTCATCTTCCATCACGATGCTCGTCCTCGGTCGGCTACTATAGGGTCTCTCCGGGGCGGTCGCGTGGACGGTGCCTTTGGCAATTGTGACCGACCGCGTGACAGTTGACCAGGTCGGCCCGTACCTTGGGTATATGACCATCGGACGAAGCATTGGGATGTCCGCCGGCTCACTGGTCGGCAGTCTTGTGTTTTCCTACGGAGGCTATCTCCAAGCATATATTCCGGCTTTTGCTGTGCTCGGCGTTGACATGATCCTACGACTT